ATGTAGAATCCTTCCAGCTTCCTTCAGAGTCTTGAACAGACTCAAATCCTAGGCTCTCCATCCTCCCTGGGTCACATGGCTTATTTTAAAGTTCCTTTCCACATGGCACAAAAATGTAATGGTCTCTGTTTATTAGATTTCGCCTCATGAATAAAAATGAAGTCATAACTAATTGGAAAATGTTTTATATTGAAAGCTTGGCCAGAAGCTAATATTTGATTCTAGAAGGAAAATATTGATAAAAATAGACAAACGAGGGAAAGAATAAACAATGGGAGAACGATACCTGGAGCTACTGTTCTGTTTAGAACTAATCAAGCCCAAGCCTCCTCCCCCCAATCTATTAGATGAATTAAATATGCTAATTTTTGTTTTCAAGTCTGTGAATCCTAAGATGATTCTTTAAAGGAGACAGATGCTCTCATTTCAGCCAGGCAGCAGATTAACCAGGAAGTGGTGGGCAGTGGACGCTACGAAAATGATTTGCAGAGAGCGTCCCACAGCAGCCTTCATGCTTCAGTAAGGAACCAAAGCTCCTAACTCAGTCTCTAATGGGAACTACATTTTCCCGGGTAAGTGGTTATAATGGGCTTCTTAAAAGCTCTTCATTCATTTAATGTTGGCATTTTCTCACGTCAATACTCTCCAGACCAAAGTCTCCTGTATTTATGGGGCATTGTAGACCTAAAAGTGTCTTCTGGGGGAATGCAAGAAAAATCTTTCATCTAAATGCTTCTTTTCTTTTCTTTTCCTTTTTTGTGATTTTCAACCAGAATGGCCAGTGTAAGTCTAAATTCAGTTCATTTTCAAAAACATAGAACACCCTCCTCTCACTATGATACAGACAAGGCATTGTTTTTTATATTACTAGTATAGTGTCCTCTGTGTGAGACTGTAGTACCACTGACAGAATTCAAGAGTAGAACTGGTGGAGACTCCCTATATCAGGAAGTCGGTTTGGACTGCACAGTGCTGCAAGGGTTCTGGACTCACCTACTGCATAGCGCTGCAAGGGTTCTGAACTCACACCTGACACACCGTAGAGCCTTGAGCAGGCAGGTATAACCAGTCAGGACAAACCCTAAAGCCCATCAGCTGTTTCCCCAACAACATGTTTCCTAGTATACAAATGAAATAATACCAGGAACATGTGCTGGGACCTTGTTATACTGAGTCTGGCCACTTTAGAATCAACCAAATGTAGCTTTTATATAAACATTTCCTTCCAGAAAATTACACGTAGCAAAACATGACAGGTGTTCATTGTCACTCAGAGCCCCATTTAAACAGAGGAAGGATATTCAAAATTCAATATTAACCTCTGTCAGAAATTTGAATACTTTTCTTAACAAAACAAATCTAGGAAAAAAGACATAGAACAAGTCAGGAGGCAACACCTCAAATAAACAAATGTGTAAC